CTTTCTCGGAATCACAGACAATAGCTGTAACAGGGTTTGTGGTATCTCCAGTCGATTTCTCGGAATCACAAACATACGCCAATGAAAATTACTACAAAAGTGTTCAACAAAGAATAATGTCTCATTCTAATTTCTTTAGCCACACGTATCTTCATTTTCATGATCACTTTAGATTCTAATAAATCCCCAGTTATTGCAGTGTCTGCCGGGCTGGGGAGAGGGGCGTGGGGGTGATGGGGGATGGGGAAGAATAGAATGCTTTCCCAAAAAACCTTGGATTGAGAGTATGAGCTTCTCAATGGGTTCTTAACCTTGGAACTCCTGTTTTAGAACTGAGTTTATGGTCGTTTGCTCTCGCTAGAAATTTCTTGCCGAGAGCTATGACGAAATAAACATCAAATTAGCAAACCAGCTAATCAGCAGAGTTAACCACGCAAAATCATTAGGTCTGATTATCGACCATCGGCTTTCCTGGTCTAATCATGTTAGCGAAGTGTGTAATGAGGTATCTTCTGCAATAGGTGCACTAACGCGTGTCAGACCCCTCATCTCCCAATCTACCGCGTTACTAATTTATAACGTCTTAATGTAACCTCTCTTTGATTACTGTAGCCCCGTCTGGGATGGCTTAGTAATCAATTGAGTGACAAACTACCAAAATTACAAAACCGTGCAGCCAGAGTAATTTTAAAAGCAAATAATATAATGACACTGGCTCAAGCTTCTTTCTCGAAACACTTAAATGGGACAAACTAGCAATACGAAGAACGAAGCAAAAAGCAATAATTGTGTTTAAATCCCTTAGTGAGTTAGCTCCGGTGACTTGCAGGACCTATTCAACGAACAAAGTACAGACTATGATTTGCGTAATGTTGTACCTTGCGTAATGTTGTAGTGTTTTTTTTTTATTGGAGGCTATTGTATTTGGCTAATTTCTATTGTTAAAAACCTCTATTAAGCAGACACCGAACTGAATTGACAAAGAGTTCATGTACTGCGCGTATTATCGTTGCTGTTTTGCTGTTAAATATATTTTTGCATTTAAAAAACAAATTAAAATTGGTAATGAAAGGTATTGAACTTGAACTCGGGATAGCTTCCTCAACAAAATGGAACTTTATCACAGTACAGAGTAACCGTTGAATGTTAATCGTTAACAAACATTGCGCTATTTTTACAAACCTCTATCAAGCGGACACCCTCTATTAAGCAGACACTTGGGAAGGTCCCGAAGGTGTCCGCTTAATAGAGGTTTCACTGTATTTTACATTTATCACTCGTTCTTGTTTAACTAGAATATCTATTTTTGCTCGAAAAAAACAATTGAAGCGACAATCTTATTTTCTTGAGCCAATTCATATTTAGTGCAAAACCAAACGAGCATCTTCCATGCACTTTCCATAGTTTCATATTTTCCCATTCTTGAAACAGGTTTCCCGATCTTCCAAACCTTGAATTTGCTAATGATTCCAATATAAGAATGCTCTGAGTTACAAATAGGACTTAATATGCAGTCAATGTTGAAACAGGCTTTGTCAATGGTGTGACATGATTATGACATCGGAAAGGGGGAGGGGAGGGGGTGAAATATGAGAAGTATTAAGTCCACATACAAACGAAGTGGCCCATCAGGCCTGCACTTTTCTCCAGTTTCTGTAGCATGAAGCGACTAGGAGTATCTCTATTCCCCTTGGATGGGATGCTAGTCCAATGAAAGTTTACCCCCAGCATTAAGTTCACCGGTACCCATTTTTACACCTGGGTGGAGAGAGGCACTGTGAGAGTAAAGTGTCTTGCCCAAGAACACAACACAATGTTCCTAGCTAGGGCTCGAACCCGTACTGCTCGATCCAGAGACGAACGCACTAACCATGAGGCCACCATGCTTCCCATATGAGGAGTGTAGGCAGGACAAATTGTATTTGAAGAGACAAGGTTTGTTTACAGGGAGTGTCAGCTACTTTTGTCCGTGATTGTAGTCGGATTTGCACGCCCATAGAAATTAACCAACAATCGCGCTAATGTGTAGTACAATGTACTTGTTGTTTATTGTTTAATGTAGATGTATTACGATGCAGTAATGACTTCATACTTCATAGGTGTTAGTTCATGAGAATATCTTTCCATCTTGCATATTGTTTGGTCAGTCCGCCTGTCCATTAGTCAGTCAGTCAGTCAGTCAGTCAGTCACTGAGTCAGTCGGTCTGTCAATCAGTCAGCCAGTCAGTCAGTTGATCAGACCTAACCATACATCATTATAAGGTTAGAAAACCACAAGAATATTGCTGAATAATTATTGTGGTTCTTTCTCAGTAAAACAAATAAAAAATGGAGTAGAGAACATGACTGCGCTGAATTTATCCGTTGTGGCATACATGCACACCTTGTGGAATGTCTTTTTTTCACCTCAGTTTGAATGATCGCTTGTTTGGGAAATGTTTTTCCTTTCGACAAGTAGTATTGTGACAAACTTTATGGCTTGAAAACTACTTCAACATTCCGTTTTTTTTTTGCCCAAGTATGTGAAATGCGAAATGTGTATTTGTTTTTCTGCAATTTAAAATTCCATTCCAGATGCACTTTAATTAAAGTATAAACATAATATATAGCACCAACATTTCACAACAGGTATCATGTTATAAAGTTATAGAAGGGCGCGTGGCCGAGTGGTGAGGGCGCCAGACTTGAACAACATAGCTGTTTCTTGTGGTTTGTTGTTTTTGTCGTTTACGAACGTGTTTTTGCGCAAGTATAGTCCCTTATTTCGTTGCAATTGCCTGACTTTTATCCATGGTTTTCCCTTCCCGTACACGCCCTTTAAGTATTTTCACGCTTTTACTGTAAAGTTGCAGTATTGTTTATTATTTTATGCGTGCTTTGCCTCACAAACATTGGGCTTGTGCAGCGCCTTTCCCTCGACTCCCTTCTAGTTTGCAGGTTCTGTAAAATTCAAGGATGTGTTTGTATGCGTGCTTTGCCTCACAAACATCTGGTTTGTGCAGTGCTATTCCCTCGGCTCCCTTTAGTTTGTAAGCTTGTTATATTCAGTAATGTTCTTGTATGCGTGTTTTGCCTCACAAACATCTGGTTTGTGCAGTGCTATTCCCTCGACTCTCTTTAGTTTGTACGCTTTATTATAATCAGTAATGTTCTTGTATGCGTGTTTTGCCTCGCCAACATCTGGTTTGTGCGGTGCTATTCCCTCGGCTCCCTTTTGTTCGTACGCTTTGTTATATTCAGTATAATGTTCTTGTATGCGTGCTTTCCCTCACAAACATCGAGAACTTGGTGCAGTGCTATTCCCTCGGCTCCCTTTAGTCGCACTCTTTATTATATTTTGTGCTCTACAGTGATGTTTTTTTTTTTTTCCGAGGTTGCTTTGCCTCGCAAATGCCGGTCTTGTGCAATACTATTCCTTTGGCTCGGTGTAATTGTTACACGCTTTTTTCGTGGTTTGTACTATTCAGTAATATGTTCGCCCTGTTTTGTTGTTAGTTTGTACACCTACGTTCTTGTAACTTGTACAATTACCTTGGGGCACGTGCTGTTGCATCGTTTGCTCTGGCTGCCATCCTTTGGGTGGGTTTAACTTCTTCTGCACCTTTTTGTTTCTCCCTTATCGTTTGCCTTTATCCCTAGTATTTTCAGTATCCTGTGTTAGCACTCAAGGACTACCAGCTTTTGGATATTTTATTCACACTCTCTTCTCTTACAATTGCATAGCCCTTGTCTTAAGGTTTGGGTGGGTAGGATTTGCTAGTTTAAGGTTTGGGTTTCGCTTCTGAGTATTGGCTATTGTTTCGGGTCTTTACTTAACGTTCTACCTTTTGGCACGGAGCATTTCTCCATCTCTTATTCAGCGAGCGTGAAAGGGACTGTCGCGAATAGTATGCTATTCGCACAAGTCCCTTACTAGGCAAGTATAAATAAGAGCTCTGCATCTCATTTCAGCCCAGTTCGCGTATGAATCCTTTGGCTGTAGCAGCCGCAACATACTGTCTCTCTTTGTCGCTTGCTTCTCTAGGCTAACGCGCTTCTCGTTTCCCGTCCGTCCCTTTCAACTCACTTAAGCGCGGTCGCATTTCTCTATCTCTTATTCAGTGAGCGTGAAAGGAACTGTTGCGAATGGTGTGCTAAGCTAGAGTTGTTTCTCGGTAGACCCTAGTTCAACTCCTTAGCCACGTTTGTAAATATCCAACGTGTCTGCCTCCCGCCAGTTGGGATTTCTAACCATGTTATGTTCATTTGCATTATTTGTTTCATCATTTGTTTCCATTGGCCCTGGAAAGCCCCATTGGGGGAGTGGCCAATTAAGATATGTATGTTCTATTTATTTAACTGTGTGGCTACAGGTTGTGCAGCAGATGTGCTCGGCTGCTGCATTTGTTGTTGTTGTTGTTGTTGTTCTGACTGCTGTTGGTAGGCTGCTGTCTGTGCTTGTTAAAGTTGTTGGAGTTCTTGTTCAGCCTGAAGGATAAGAATTCACAAATTCAACCAAATTAATTTTAATAATTCTAATTTCAAAATGTGAAGTCCACTCTTTAGCGTTATTCTAGATAGGGATCAGCAAGTCTCTTTTGGATAGCTGGCAAGTGGGATAATCTCCAACAGCATCAGAGACACTTCCGTCTGATACTGACTTTACCGCAAACTTTTATAATGGCTTGTCAACCTTGGCATGTAGAGTATATCTCTAATTTCTGTAGTGTGAAGTGACTAGAAGCATACATGTAGCTTCTTCCCTGCTCAGCTTGTAACTGATACACAACATGCCATAGTGCATCACACCCATCCCCCTACCCTTCAAATTTTGTCCCGTTACCCTGACAGCTTGATAACAGCTTGCTGTTAGCAACATTTTGGGTGACAAGAGTAACTGAGCTGATAAAACATCTTGAA